CAACGCGCTATTATCCAAGTCATCTTGAAAACATTCTTCTTCCAAATGTTGGCTACATATTACGGGTTTTTCATTTGCTTTCACTATAGCTCTGGTGAATTTCAATGGTGAAGTCCTCTGGAAATCTTCAATAGTTGTTGTTGATTGCAGATGTGTCTAGTAGTTCCCATTGATTTAGCTTGTAAAGCGGGGAGAATGGCGCTAGGCTTACCGCACCGTGACGTCACTGCTGGAAGATGGCAGGAGGGAGGGGTTACTATAGTTGGGCAAAAATTGTTTTTATTTTTTTCACTAATTAACTCTAAATTGAGTTAACTCTAATATGTTTGCTCTAAAAAGCAAACATATTAGTTTAAGGTATAAATAATGATCCATTGATTATTCCTTGCTGTCCGGACTTTTCCTTCAAAAACTGAACTCAATAGATCATAAAGGTTTCACACGTAGAAAAATGTATGTTTAAATATTTATTAAACAGTTGAAATTAACGCTGCAACTAACGATTATTGTGCAAATAGTTAAATCTGTTGATTCTTTTTCGATTAATAATCAGAAAGCCAAAGGTTCTTTAAAGAAAACCTTTTTTTCTAAATTAAACCAGGGGAAACTAAAACTAGAGGAGGTCTGCATAGAGCATATTGACTGACATTTTTTTTACATTATAATGCAAAAATCCCGTTATTGACTAATCGATTACTAAATTAGTTGATGATTATTTCAATAATTGATTAATCTGATTAATTGATACAGCCCTGGATGAAATGGTAAAGGACGCGTTAGCAGGAAGGTTAGAAATAGTTTGAACCCAGTTAGTTGCATAATCTGCTTAAATCTAGCAGGGGAATACATTTCTGGTTTTATTCATTTTCAATACATTTAAGGCATGACATTTTTTTCCCATTTAATTCTACCTTTGATTTAGGTTTTTTTTAAATGAAGCAGATTTTTTTTTTTAAACAAAAATAAAAATGTTAAACATCTAGATTTTAGCCTCAGATTTGCTGGTCAGCTGCCAATGCTCCTCATGCTTCAACTCAGGAGAAAATGCTGCAGGTGAGCATATGGCCCAAACGTTCAACGTCCTTTACTAATTAGTCTCTTTCTCTTCACCAGCATCAAGTGGCAAAGGAGTACCATGACCGAGGCCCACGCATCAACTTGACCTTCAGGACTATCCACCCAGAGCCGGAGGGCCACAGAGCAGGCACAAAGATGAGATTTGCTGCAAAGCCGCTGTAGATTCCCCTCAAAGAGACTCTAAGCTCCTAAAGGGGCGTTTTACCACAGGGATGAATAGATGTATGCTTTTGAAGAAGGAATTCTAAAGCCCTAATTGGTCTGTCTGACAGGAGAAAAATACATCAGATGTTTTCAGTACCAGAGGTTCCACTGACTGGTGGTGCGTTCACTGAAGCCTTTTGTTTCTGGTTACTTTCCTTTCTGTTTTCCTGAACCGAAAAACAGAAAAACCTTGGCTTTAGTTTCCTCCTGCAGCCTTAAACACCCTTTTCTAATTGTCTCTTTAACAGATTTCAGAAGTTTGGTTTAAACTCTGGTCATTTTGGGGAGGATTTAAATATGTGACTGGTTCTGTTATAGGAAAGGTCCTGAAAGGACAAATCCATAGATGGTTTAAAATGCTTACTGACTTTATTAACATTTGCATTGAGCCTTGATTATTGTCAGGAGTGTTTAATGGCTTCAGTTTAAAGCGAGAAATCAGAAATGAGCATCTTTGGACGGTCAGTAACAAGAAATGGTTAAGTTGAAGAAAGGTCTTCTGTCTTCATTAAAGTCCAAATGCAAAGCAGAGAAACACTGCAGTTCAGTGGCAGCAGCTTCCTTTGGAAAGTTGGTAGAACATAATTTAAAAATGTTTAGGTTAAAAAAAAACTCCCAGAGTTTTTTTCTTTGTATTCTTTTTTTTTTTGTCATATGTTCCTCTCACCATATGTGAATCCTAAGATTATAAAAAGAGAAAAACTGTTTTGAAAATTGAAATTTGTGTCGTTTGTAACTCAATTCAGTTTATTTCTATTCACAACACGTCATCTTAAGAAACTTTACAGAGACATTCAACCAGATCAAATTGATTCAAAAGTTTTCTTTCTAAGGAAAACCACCTGATGTCGTCGACTCATGACTTTAAGGCAATCCCTCAC